TTCAGTACTGGGATTACTAGGGTGTGCTATCAGGCCCGGTCTTTCCCTGGAAAGTTCTTATGTCACTTAATATTCACCAAGACAGTGCTGTGCCTTGCAGGCTCAGCAGCCACTACCCTGCAGTAGCATTGTGTCCTCATGTTCCTACCTCAGAGCCATGTGACAGAATGAAGAGGTTCTGTAGAGTGCTCGCTTTGGAGTCCAGAATCTAGGGTTTCACTCTTGTATATATACATTACATAGAGTGAGAGATCCTCTTTTTTCTTTTCATTTCCTTCATTAACACGGTTATCAATACTGCAATTGAAGTTTTGGTCCTTTCTGATATTCTAATATGCTAAACACCTCACCAAACCTTAGTTCATCAAATTCTGACAATAACCCCATGTGGGAGGTTCTGAAACTCTTATATACAGATGAGGAAACTGAGACCCAAGGAAGTTGAATAGTTTTCCTTTGGTTTCCAGCCCGGAATGACTTTAGTCCCAGGTATTGTTCTATAGTCTCTTGTTTCCCTTGAATGTTTCTGAAAAATACTGCTGATCAAAATGCATTTGATCATGTTCTTCTTGGGACTGGTTGCTTAGAAATAAAAATAAAAATTACTTAACTTTTTTAAAAACCAACTCTTAAGTTTCTTTGGATTTCTCATTACCTAAGAAAAGTCTCATTTCTTTTACTCCCACCAACGACTGCAGAAACATACAGGCAATCAATTTTTACACAGCACGTGCAAGCAGCCACCTCTGTATGTGCAACATTACCCCCAGCTGCTCTGGGCTCATCCTCCTCACATCTCTACTTTGGCAGCCCATTTTGGCCACACCCCTCCCATTCAACCTCAGTGCCTTCCTTAGGACAGGGTTAGGTACAATTTGTCTTCCTGCTGTTCTGCTGAAAGCATCATGGCTGCAGGGAAGGTGGTAGAGATGTCTCCTGATGTGAGTTTGGAAGGGCAGGCTGACTTTGGGCAGGACCAGAGAAGTTGGCGAAGCTTGCATTCATTTTTTAGAGGGCTGGAGGAGGGGTATGGGTGACACATAGGTCATGGTGTAGAGTTGAGGGTGGGCAGAATCCAGCCCCTGAGGTAGAATACTCTGTAGAGGCAAAGAAGCCTTGATAATGGGGGTGCTCAGTGGCTTGTCTGGGATGGAGGGGGCAGGATGCCAGGCTTGGGGTCTTTCCCCTTGTGGAGATGCAGATGTGTAAGACACTTTGCAGGAAGCATGTCCTAGAGCCAGGAAGATGATGAATACAGTTGTGCCAACTTTCTCTCTTAAATGGCATCCCTAGAGTGCACAGTCTGAAAACTTTTTTAAGGCAATGTTGGGAGCCACTGAAGCTGGAAATTGGTTATATGTGTGAAAGCAGGATGAGGTTTCAGTGCCTAAAGCAGTCAAACTACCACAGTCCTGGGAAAAATATCCTGCCTGGTTAATGCAGCTATTAGTCACTAGGGAGCCTTGTGTCACATGATACTAATTTTGTAGAGATATAAATAAATGCCATCACTGTTGGGGGAGGGGTCATTTGTCAATCAGGCAGTGAGCTGCCACCTGGCCCAGCTCTTGTCTTCGTGTCTACCTTTTCCTCATTCCTGCTGCCATTTCTCCCTAGGTACTCCAAGATACCAACAGAGTCTAACAAGGCAAAGCTGTGATTCTTCAGAGTATAGTACAGAGTCTGATATTTTGTAGGCACTCAGGGACTTTGAAGGAAGCTGGGTGACAGGAAGGGAGAATGGAAGGAGGGAGTGGTCAACTGTAGGACCCAGTGAAGAGCTCGGTTTCCCAGACAAGCACAGGTCTCCTTCCAGGGTCCAGGCCAGGCTCATGGGGCTACTCTTTTCTACATTTCTGACTTTGCTGCATGCACCGTGCACAGGAAAACTCAGTCTTCTTACCTCCTACTGCCTTGGAGGAACTGAGCCAGGACTTAATGCAGTCTCAGTCCAGATAAGCAAGACAACAACAGGATGGAGGAGCAGACTCCATTCAAAGAAAGTCAATCTGTCAGTCAGTGACCATTCTCTCCCCATGTGTTGTCCCCAGGTGTTAGATTCAAGCACAGTACCTGGCTTTCCAGGTGCTGTCCTCACCAGTCACTTCTACTGCCACACATCCTTCAGCTTAGGACAAAGTCAGGAGACCCCATTGAGCAAACAGCTTCTCACCTGGAACAGATGCTCTGGACTCTTTAAAATAGGCTGATTTTTTTTTTAGGTGCATGAAGATAGACTTTTAAAAAGACAACAAAGTCAATATAACCCAGTATATTTCTACCTACATTTTTTGGTTTGTTTTCAAGTGCATTTTCTTTACAGTCTTTCCTGTGGTTCCTTTTAGGTAGCTGTTTTACTTGTTGAGAGCTTTATCTGGTTTTGACACTGCTTTTGCTGAGCTCAGTTTTTCCGAGACCCTTTCTTCTCCTAGGCTTGGTTCTACCTCACCAGCTGTTGTCAGCCAGTTTCAGTTACAGTGCAGAGGTCTTCCTGCCAGTGCCCGGGCGGAGGCATGCGCTGGTGTCTGTTCCTGGTCTGGGCCCACGGGCTGAGGCAGGCTGCCTCCCTCACCTCAGGTAAGACCTGAACATCTTGCAGAGCATGGGAGAAAGAATAAAGCTGATCTTGCACAGACGCCAGGTGTCCTGGGCGAGAAGGCCCAAGGTTCACGCTTCCTCTGTTGGAGGGAAGGATACTTGGGTCTACAGTCCTGTGTGCCCTATGTGAGCAGAGGCAACTCGAATAGAGGGCAGCTGTCAGGGTGGAAGATGAAGGATTTTGTAGATCTTCAGGCAGGGGGGCTCTGAATGACCAGCAAGAAAGGGGCAAGGGAAGAAGAAGGGACCAAGAAAGGGGCATGGTAGGTTGGCCTTTAGAAGCTTACTTCTGCTCCATCTTCTTTTCCATTTTTGAGGAACCTTCCAACAAAACAATGTAGGCATTTCTTTGCCAATCAAAAATGTCTCTTTCACAGATTCTGTAGGGCCTAAACATTGTAGACTGAATTTTTATTTCTTATTAAAAATCAGAGACAAAGATTTCTGAGGGAGGGGGACTCAAATTCTTTCAAGCTGTAGTAGTAATCCATTCCATTGTTGTTCTCTGAACTTCTGAGGGCAGAGAGGTTCACTAAGCATCTGAGAGGGTAGCTTTCCCTGGGAGAAGCAGAGTTCATTGTCAGCTCGACTTTCCCTGGCATTTCTTGGCTTTCCTGAAAGTTTTTCCTGACACACCAAGTGGAAATCAACCAGATAAAGGGTTTTATTGCAAAGGCTGAGACACCCAGGACTGCACTAGGCTGCTGGAAGTCCTAACACTAGAAGAAGTGGTGTTGGCAGAGGGCTTGCATTCTAAGTGGGAAGACAGAAGAGACGCATGAAATTAATAATGAGCTAGTTACGAAGTGATTCAGCAGAACCTCTGAGAGGGTGAAAGTTACACAGTAGGGGCAGTGAGTGTGGAAGGTAAGGGAGGGTCCTAGTGGGCCTAGGTCCTAAAAATTCTGGGGAGAAGCAGGTCCTAGTGGGCCTAGGTCCTAAAGATTCTGGGGAGAAGTGGTGGCAGAGGGAAGGGTGGGCTGGGGAGATCGAAGAGCACAAAGAAGCACTCAGAGACTGGAAAGAAGCTTTGGGCTGGGACTCGGAGGCTTGAATAATAGCCATGGAGGGAAAGATCTCTTGAAATTGGGGAGAACAGGAAATGAGCATAGTGTACATGCAGAAATGGTGAGCATACTGGAGGAATTATGGCTCCTGAAATCAATCTGGGCCTGGGAGCACCCTGGCATTTCTATAGGAAGGTTGAAAGCAGTTGTCAGCCTGGTCTCATCGTGCTTTTTCCTCTCCCCAGAATCTGTGGAAGGCACAGTAGTAACCCAGGGGAACATTCTGGCGAAGCAAGGTGGCTCGGTCATCTTACAGTGTCATCTTTCCTCCACCACGGCCAATGTGACCCAGCTCAACTGGGAGCATCAAGACCAGCTCTTGGCCATTCATCACCCACACTTCGGGTGGTACGTCAGCCCTGTGTTCAGGGAGCGGGTGTCCCCAGGCTCTGGGGCAGGCCTCATTTTCCACTCGCTAACCACGAATGACACAGGGGAGTACTTCTGCATCTACTACACCTACCCGGACGGCATTTACAGGGGGAGAATCTTCCTGGAGGTCCGAGGAAGCCCAGGTATGTGTGCTGGAGCAGGGCAGCCCATGAAACTTTTTCTCCAACACAGAAAACGACACAAAGACACACTTGGGAGCAGGGCTGCCGCACTCTCAAGCACCCTGGAGTTACTGAGGAGCTTTGATCTGGAGAGGAGGTAACACTGTAGCAAGAATATTATAAATAAAGTGCAAAATAAGAGGTAGACAATAGGAAGTAGGGAACTAGATCTTTCTCAAAGAGGAAGAGGGTTAAAAGGAGAGGAAAGGGGGATGGAAAAAGTAATTAAGATGTGTTATGTACTTGTGTCAGCTCCATACAAGGAATGTATGTATCATGTATTGAAAGCATGTACTAATAAAAACATTCAAAAAAGTAATGAATGGGAAAAAAATAGTGACTACTAATACCAGGGAGCTCCTAGACCAGTGAATTCAGTCTCCAGGAACAGAGCTTGGATGTGATGCATTCCCAAAGCAGGACCTAGGTACACTGTGCTTGCTCAAACGGCACAGCTTGTACGGACTCGGAAGATCTGTTAATGAGGTCATTTGTAAAGGGTGCCAATCTGTTGTTTTAGTATCAATAGGGAAAATCAGAATTAGTCCTTAAGTTTATAAATATCAGATGGGGCTGGGGAGATAGCTCAGTGGAATAAGTGCTTGCCTTTCAAGCACAAGATCCTGAGTTTGATCACTGGTGCCACCAATAATAATAATAATAATAATAATAATAATAATAATAATAAAATAAATAAAAATATAAATATCAGAGCTGGTTAAAAACAAAGCATAGCCTGACCTAAGCAAATGGACAGTTGCTGACATTTGTGTGGTACTTCAAAATTTCCAGTATGCACCATAGTTTTTAATCTATGTGGACTCTTAAGCCAAATTTCCAGATATCAAGAAAGGATTATACATCATATCTAAGTGACAGTATGGCAGATGTTAAGAGCCAGACAGCCTGGGTGCAAATCCTGCTGTGATGTAGACTCAGATTACTTAGCTCCCCCATGAGTAGGCCTCCTCTCAGGCACTCTCAGGAGCCGTGCAAGACCTCAGGGAGTGCTGATGTAGGATCAGATTGCCCACTGCAAAACTGCCCTTAGGACAGCACCAGGGTCATGGCGAGCACTGGGGAAGTGTTGGCTGACTTCAGTTTCCATTAGGCTGGTGGGGGTGGAAGCTCAGACTTGGGGCTGCTCAAAGTGACTGAGCTACTTTCAACATGGGTATTTTTAGTTATGAAACTCCACACATAGAGAGTTTCTACTTACTGTCATCAATTGTATTGGAGATGAAGTTTTATGAGTTTTTAGAATTTGTGTGAATTGAGAAGCTGAAAGGCTACCTACTTAAAGTTTCCTTTCCAACATTGCTTCTTGGCTGTCTCTGATGTAAGTCAAAAGCAATCAGGAGTCAAGCTCCAGCCTCGGGAGTCCTGTTGTGGGGCTGAGTGTTGTTGTGTACCTGGGTAACTTGGGCAAATGACTCAACTTTTCCTCAGTTTTTACATCTATGAAGGTGGTGGCTTATCACCAGACTGCAGGATCAGAGCAGGAGGGAGTCCAGGCAGAAGGGCCCCAGAGAGGGAAGTTCCAGGAACTGCGTAACAGAGACGAGTGATGTCTGTTGGCTGGTGTTCGGGCCAGACATTGGGGCCGGAGGTGCTGACAAGGGCGCTCCTCCTGCCTCTGCAGCACAGCTGAGAGGAAATGAAGGCACGAGTTTCTTCCTTGTGTCCCACAGTCAACCTGGGGAGAGCGCTCGGAAGACAGTCTGCTGGGCCCGATTCTTGCCCACAGCTTGTAGGTTTCCTCTCTTTTTGCCACTGTGGACTGCAGGAAGCACCACGGGCCACTTTCCTCTCACTTCCTGTTTCTCAAGGGGTCAGTTGCTCATGGGAAATCTCGCTGTCCTTTTACTCTGTGCATTAACTCCAACCACGTCTTTGTCTTTGCTTATTTTTATTTTTGCTGTTTTGGGGCACTGAGCCCAAGGTCTTCATGCTTGAGCTATATCCCCAGCCCTTTCTTACTTTTTATTTTGAGACTAGGTCTCTCTAAGTTGCTAAGTGGCCCATGCTGGGCTTGAACTTTTGATCTTCCTGCCTCAACTTCCCAGAGGACTGAGATTACAGGTGCATACCACTATGCCTGGCTAACCCTGTCTTTTCTATCTCTAGCTTTAGTCCAAGTCCCTCCTAACTATAATAGTTTAGCACTTTCTAACCTTGAACTTAACCTACAATTGAATTTAACCCTAAGATAACCTGGTTAATGGGCACAAGTGCTCACAGTGGGGTTGTTGAAGGCTGCTTCTGTTTCAAAGATCTTGAAATCTTTCTTCTGTGAGTACAACTGTGAGCGGAGGAATTGGTGCCTTTATTTCAACACCAAGCTTCCTAATGAACATGATATGTTTATTCAATATCTTAAATACCTCTGTGGTCCTCAGTATCCCTAATTTATCCTTAAACCAAAACCAAACCCATCATCATAATCCTGTTTTAAAATTTCATCATAGTTTTCTCCTCTCTCTTCAACTGTGGTAAGAGAATTCTATTGGGTCCTGGCTCCCATCCTTGCTCTGGCCTGCCCCCGTGGACCCAGTCCTCTCTGGCTCCCCAGGAAGCCTCTGTGGCTCTGCTGAGCCCTGAGGTGTGATTACTTCTCTTCCCTGTGCTCTCTTCTTCATAGTTGTGGCTCCAGGTGCTGGCCTGGCTATGGTGCCTGTGTCCTCAGAGCGAGTGGAGCAGGATGTGGGGCTTGGACACTGCAGGCACTGTCTGTGTCCCACCTGGATGCCTGAGTCCTACGCAAGACCCTGGGGAGGAGTTAAGAGTGGGAGGAAGTGGTCTGGAAACCCTTCCGTCCACGGCACGGCGTGTATGGGGCTACTATCTTGTTTCCCTCGTATTTCTCTTGAAGCAAGTATGCTTGTCTTCAAAATTCCTCTCTTGCCTCTTCTTCCTTCCAGTTACAATTTCTGTTTTAAAGAAACTTAGTTGTTCATGTTTTTATTTATACTGTAAATATTTATTGAGCACCTACTATGTGCCAGGTACTGGGAATACACCAAAGCATAAGGTTCAGGAACTCCTCTCCTTCCAGGTTTCCACAGCCTCCCTGGAAATTAGTGTTACAGTGCTAAGTTAAAAGAGTAGATGCCTTTTCATTTTGTAATTTAGTATTAATTTTCTTGTTAAATTTCCAAGTGAACTGTTTCAACTGGTATGGGTATATATATATGAAAATGTTCACTTTTTGTATTTCCTTAGCACAATAAACATGGTATTATGTGTTTACTGAAAATGATTTTGTTGCCTAGATGAAAGAAGGGGTGTTACCAATGATTTGCTCTTGCTCAATACCCGCCTTATGTGTCCACTTAGGAGATCACGTATGGATTTTGTGACAGGCTGGGAGGATGCTGTACTTTCCAGAGTTTGGCTTAACCCTGCCAGTCCTGTGGCTAAAGAAAAGGCTGGGCCAGGCCCCCCTCTGCCTTGAAGCAGAGGCTTCATGGGGAAGATGGCCTTACCTTTGGCCTCTGCCGTTCACCTCTCTTTTGTTCTCCCTCTAGCGGCGAACACCAGTACCTGGTTCCAGATTTTATTGCTTGGAGCTGTGGCCACAGCACTGGGGATTATCTGCGCCACAATCTTCACGCTGGTGGCCCTGGCCAGAAAGGTAATGGCTCTGGCTGCACGTGGCAGCCACCAGTACTCCATTCCTGCTGCCCCCAGTGCTTCTGGGTCCTCTTGCTTTCAAGACCCAAGTGTGTCCTCCCTCCGCCTGCTGTGCCTTTGTGGGGTGCCTGTCCTGCACTTAGTGTGCTTTTGTTCCTCTCCTGTCTGTCTTCTGGGCTGGGAAGGCTGGGCCTGTATCCTCCTTGTTTTTTTTTTTTTTTTGTTGTTGTTGTTCTTGTTTTTGGCGGAACCGGAACTTTGCTTGCCAGGGAAGCGCTTATTCCACTGAGCCATCTCCCCGGCCCCTCCTCCCTGTTTTGTTGCACCTACAGTAACTTGCTCCTGCCTGTCCCTTAACCCACTGCTCTGAGAGCTGGATTTCTCTACTGTGTATTGGAGGCAATGTGGTGGTTGTTTACTCTGTGGTGCTAGGCCTTATGGTAGAGGAACCCATTTATTTTTCACACCTATTTGGCAGTGCTGGATAGCAGGCTCTTCTGCAACATAGGAAGTAAACACTTCAAAATGTAGAAGATTCTTGGCACGGTGAGTAGGCTGTACAGACCCTGTTACTTTAGCTTCAGAGGTCATGTGGCTAAAAGAGCTGTCCTTGGGGAACTGGGAGGTGTACTTTCTGGTCCAGCACTGAGTGCATGGTTTTAGGGCAGTTACTTAATTTTCAGGTATCTATTTCTTCACATGTAAAATGAAGATAATCCTTTTACTTGCTCTAGATCATAAAGTTGTGATGGGCAAGTGGCATGGGACTCCCCTTCGACATCGTCAGCTCTCCTGGCATCTTTCAGCCAGCCTAGCTCACCCCAGCTGGACTCACTGTACAAACATCTCGGGAGCACAGTACTATTTGGCACCTTTGCCCTGACTCTCCCCTGGATTCCAACCCACTTTGTGACTGCTATGGGTCCTCTCAATTAGCAGCTCAACCCTGCCGCCGGCCCCAGATGACCCTCTCTGGACTGGGCTTGGTTCTGTTGTCGCTGTGTGTGTGCCTGTGAGTGCGTTTGTTCTACCTCGTATATTTCGAATTATTTCTTTTTATTATTAAGAAGACTTGTTCGTCAGTTCAGCATTATTTACTGGTTACCGTAGACATCACAAAATGTATCCCTAACTTATAAAAATGTATCTATATTAGTACTAATAAACTAGTTTTTAAAATCATTTCCTGGGTCCTGCAAGAACCTTAGGGCATAACTTCATTTCTATCTCTTTCCAACTTATTACTGTTATTAGCACCCTTTTCATTTCTGTGTATTTTAAGCCCCTACATAAATTACTATTGTCTCATGAGTCAATGTCCATCTAGATTTACTCTTTTGTTGCTCTTCACTTTATCCGGCATGTCCTGTCCTGTCACTGCGACAATTTTCCTTTCACCTGAAGAATATCCTGTAGTATAGTGCCAGGATGGCTGGCAATAAATTGGCTTTGTTTTAAAATGTTTTCCCTACCCAGAATTTAAACATGATATACTTGTTTTACTAGATATAAAATTCCATGTTGGCAATCGTTTTCCTTCACCATCTTTCAGCATGCAGAAAACAGTATTGCATTATCTAGCTTTCTACATTTTCTTAAGAAAACAGGTCTTGTTTTTGCTCCTCTGAAAATACGGTCTCCTTATTTTCTGGTTCTTTTAAAGTGCTCTTGTCTTTATGTTTCAGCACTTGGGTAATGATACAATTAAGTGTAGCTTCCTTTGTGTTTATCTGTTTGGGATTTGAAGGGAGTGCTTCTTTAATATGCGGTGAAGATTTTTGTCAGTTTGGGGTCAATCCTAGCCATTATCTCTTCATATATTGCTTCTCTATTCTTGCTGTCTTCTCCTTCTGGAGCTTGAATTACAGGTATTTTAAACATCTTTACTTTTCTCCCACAGCTCTCCCTTTTTTGTATTTCCATCCATTTGTTTCATCCTATTGAATGGCAGGTTTTCTTCTGACAGATGTGTATCCCAGTTCACTAAGTATCTCCTTTCATGAATCTAGTTTTCTATGCAGTCTCTACATTTGTCAAAGTTCCCCATCTTGTGTTGTAAGTCTTTACAAATGTTAATTATTTTGAAGTCTGTAGTTGATAATCCTGTTACCTGGATGCGCCATGGGCCTGTCTATTGTCTATTTGTACTTGTTTACTGGTCAGATCTGCTTGGTTGATATTTTTCATTGAGTACTATGTATTTTACATAGGAATTATAACAAGTAATTTGAGGATTTCATAAGATCATCTCTTCTAGTACTCCCTTTGCACCTGCAAGATGGTTAGCCATGTACTAGCAATAGTAGGTCCCTGGAGTTAAATCAGTTCTGAGAGATTATACAACTGGATTTCAACTTCTGCTGCCCACTTACTCGTAGGGTGTGGTTCTTTTTAGGATCCGAATTAAATCATTATAGTGTTTACTAAAGCTTCCCTTCTGTGGTAGTTCTAAGCTCCAGATTTTGTCGAGAAGTTCTGTGTAGGTTATCTCATTCTCATCTATAACTTTCAGGCAGTTATCTCCAGGAGAAAATGTTCCTGAAGTTTCATGTTTCTAGGATTACTTCCTCCTGAGCCCACAAATTCCTCCCAACTTTGTATATCTCTATTTTATTCAAAGAGACATTTCTAATATTTTTCATCTTTTCTAGCTGTTTTCCATAGAAGGGTTGGTTCAAAGCAACATGATCAACCATAGTTCCCACCAGAAGCAGAGTTCCTATTTTTGATGTTAATGTTTCACATCCTCATTCAACTTGAATTTTACTGGTGCAGCATACTTAACTAGCTGTGTTCTCTTTACTTCGGTTCCCTGGAATCAGGATACCCTTTGGATTTTAGCTCCTCACTTCCTAAAGCCCAAACAGCCACTTTCTGTTCATCTGACAGGGTCCAACCAGGACCCATGAGGAGGCCATTTAAATGCCTTCATTTGCAAGCTCTGGTTCCATCTTACCTGCTTATTGTTGAGTTCTTACCATCTTTTTCTCTTTCTTTCTCTCCTGGAGAAGAATCACCACTTGATTGTTTTCTTTCTAACTTAACTTCTGCTTGGCTTATTTTTCCTCTTGTTGCTCTCTCCAAAACCAGAGACCAGTTTTCTCTCTAAGCTTCAGCGTGAGGATGAATCACACAAACCAGAATTGAACTAATAAGAGAGTATTGTTGCAGTGCTTAGAACTCATGATATTTTGCATTTTGAATAGCTTAAATTCTTTATCCTTAGATTCTGATCCTTCCTGATCAACAGATGAAGAGAGCCCAAGGTCTCCTACGCTGCTCTTATTTAACTGAGAAAAGATTAGAGTGAGGATAAAAGCAGATTTTTAAAAATTAATTTTATTGAGAAAGAAGTAGCAATGAGACAGTTTCAAAACAGGTTAGGACAGTTACAATAATTAATACATTGCACATTGTTGTCTTTGTAGTAGTTATTCATAGTACAAGATGCATATGTACACAGACATATATATGTATATACAAAATAGCATAGATACTTTCTCTTGGTTCAATGAGAAGAAAGATTTGTACTAACAGTGTTTAGACAAGATAGCACATCTACAACAGATATTTTTGTATCGAGACCAAAGCCGCATCCTTAGTGAGCTGCAAGCGAGGTTTTCCCCAGTTATGCTTTTGCAATACTCAAGGCACCTGATAGATCTTGCTGATTTGGTCCTGTGAAAACTGAAGAGACCCTTTAGTTGATTGGAAAAGCTCAAACAATTGATGCTCTCCTTGTGAAAGTTCTACGAGGCCTTATACTAGCAGATGACTGCTGGGGGCACCTACTTCTCTGCAAGTCTCTGTTGTCTTATGATTCACATCCTTACTTACCAGGTACGAAACATACATTGAGGCTGCTGACCTTCCTGATTCAGAGATGTGGCCATCTATTCTTATTTAACAGGCTGTGCTCAGTAGGAATGGAAGGATTAATGGGCCCTTAGAGGCAGCAGAACATACCTTCCTGGTAAGGATTTAAAGTTGGTTATTCTAAATGCTAGACAACCCGTGTAACTTTGGTCATCATAGATGCTAAAAGAGGAAACGTGCAAAGGGAGCAGCTGTGGTCACCCAACCTGCTTGCTCCTCTGCTGTCATCTTTCAGTCACCAGCCCTCTCTCCCATCTCCACTGCTGCCTGTCTAGTCCAGGTCTTCTCTGCTTCTTTCTGGCACTTCAGTGCTCACTCCAGCACAGTTCAAAGAATTATACTTGCATTATTCAAGGTCCCAGAAGGAACACATAGTTCTCTGAAGTGGGCTGTGCAAGGACACCTTCATAAAAGGATTGATAAAGGTCTATGCATTATAGAGGGAAACCACAAAAGGGAGTAGAGCAGTGTTGCAATGACCCCACTGTTTTCGAAGGGAGAAGGAGAAGCAAAAGAACATGCAGGGAGAGAGAGAGCTGTATGAGGGGGGCTGCCCTGAGAAGTCTGCAACTTTCAGTTGAGTGCCATAGCCAATGCAAGGCAGCTCTAAGGAAAGAGTGCAGGGGAATCCAAGCCTTCAGTGCACTCTCCTGCCCTTCATTAACCTGTTGTTGTTCTGCACTGGCTTGGCTCAAACTTCAGATAGAGGAAAGGTATACACCTGCTGGTGAGCACTCAGGGTACAGAGAGGTGAAGTGGTTGGCAATTGGAGCCAAGAGATGAGTACAGCCAACCCATAAGTACTACTCATGACCTGTGAGTGGGGCAGGGGGCAGACTTCCATGGAGGTGCCTTCTCGCATGTATTTTTTTTTTAAATATGATTTGAAAAAAACCCATATACATTGTTCTTGTTAGCTACCAATATGTATTCTCTGAAGACATACTATGTTCTATCAGCATCTCAGTGTCCCTGTGGGTCAGGCTTCCTTGACTCCTATTACAGTAATTACATCCACTTTGTTTCTTCAATGCTATCATTTTGGGACCCTTTATCTCCACTGCTTCTAGGGGATGCAGTTCTGCAGAGACCTCTCCTACTTTAGCCCCATCCTGTGGATGGGAGGTGCCTGAACTTCTCATGGTGCTGGCTTTCCTCTTACTCATATTGTCCTCCACACTGTGATGTAAGAGGTTATACAGATGTTCCCCAAGGGCCTTATGGGTTCATAGATGGAACTTCTGCGAGGTTGTGGGGTGATTCTTGGAGGCAGGCATGGCAGTAAGTCAGTGGGGTGTGTCCCAAAAGGGTTTATCTCCCTCTTCTTCCCCTCCCTTTATGCTTTCTGCTTCCTGTCTTCACACTTCTAGCAGCTCTCCCCTGCCAGGCCCCTCTGCTACACAGAGCCAGCCTGTTGTGGTCTGGAGCCCCTCACAGTGTGAGCTGAAACAAGCCTTTTTTCCTTTAAGGCATAAATGTTGGGTATTGTGTCTCAGTGAGGAAGAAAGTGACCAAGACAGGTCGGTGTTCTTTGCTTTGTGTCTGTCCTGAAAAGTCCAACATAATCCACTGCCGTAATTTTGAAATTATTTACTACAGGGATTGCAAATTTTTCTGTAAAGGGTCAGGTGAGAATCTTTTAGGGTTTGTGAATAATATGGTCTGTGTTGCAACAATTCAACTGTTTTACAGTAGCATGAAAACATTATGGATAATATGTGAATGAATATGGTTCTGTTCCAGGAAACGTTTCCTTATGAACATGAAAATTTGAATTTAAAGGGCCAGCCAGATAGCTCAAGTAGACTAAAGCATCTGCTTAGGCAGACGCAGGAACTGGGCTTTGAACCCTGGCTTGCTGTGCTGGCCCTACCCCTGGGGCACACTGAGAAGGGGATTGAGATGGCCTGGCGGCACATGCCTGTCATACCAGCTCTTGGGAGGCTGAAAACAGGAGGATCACTATGAGTCCAATCTGTGTAGTGGGACCCTGTAGACCTTGTACTAAATATATTTTTTTAAAAAGAAAATTTGAATTTAATATGATTTTCATGTGCCATGAAATACTCTTTTCTCTTCCTAACCACTTGAAGTTGCACACCTCCTCTGTAGCCTGCAGGCTGTATGAAAAGGTAGCAGTGGTCCAGATTTGATCCATGGGCCTTAGTTTGCCAATTCCTGAGTCAGTAGGCCTATTTTAGCTTTTCCTCTCCCCTGAGCATTTTATTTCCTTCTTTCACAGTTTGCCAAAGCAGCATTAGCAACTCCATTGACAGTACCATGTTAGACTTTCTTTTGAGGCTTTTGTGCAGGTGTTAAATCTTGAGTCATGTGGTTTGCCTGTGGTACTAAGCCGCTCCTGATCCATCATGTTCAGGACTCACTCCCAGGCAGCATTTCTGAGTTCTTGCCAGTACTTGTTATCTAGGTCCTTTCCCATGTAACCTTTGCCCTCTTTTAACAGCTCTGGTGCTTGCACCATTCATGGTGGCTGCCAATTTGGCCAACAGTCTGGGCAGGTGGAGGTGGGTCTGGGCAGGGCTTATCTTCTGGAGCTCCAGGTGTAGAAGGTGGTTTAAGGCTCTCAATGGCTACTCTCAGGCCACAGGGAGCCCTCCTTTGTTGTGAAAACCATGATTTTGGGGTAGGAGACTTACCCAGGCTATGAATCTGGCCTTCTTTGAAGTTTTGTCACTCTTACAAGTAGCTCTGGAGCCTGGACTCCGGCTGCTGGAGACAAGTGTCTCTTTTAAATGCTGTCAAAAAGAAGTTTGGACTTGCTTGCTTCATGGTAAACTGCTGATAGGTCTAAGGCAACTCCTAATCTCCCTTTATCTGGGTCTCACCCACATCTCCAGGAGTTCTGGGTCTGCACTGCTGACTGCTGTTGAGTGACTCCCTCCCCCGTCTCATCCTTACAGACTGCCTTCTAAAGTCACACTTGGGAACAGCTGCTTAAGTTCAGGTTCTCAGCGGGAGAGCCTGGCATGTGTGCATTCTGGTGGGAGTGATTTACTGGTATTGGTGCCCAGATGGACGATAGCGAGGCAAGCAGGATAGGGCTAAGGAAAGGAGCCTCAGATTGCCTGTGACTTCAGCTTAAGGCTGGCAGCACCCTTTGGAAAACCCACTTTTCAGTCACCAGGAGGACCCAAGAATGGTTCCCTAGAGCAGCTGTGAGCTCACTGCCTCTGGCCTGGCATCTGCTGTGGGAATGCAGCATTGATCAGGAAGAGAGATCGGAGCAGGGCACTGGCAGTACTTCATGCAGACTCTGAGAGCCAGGAGAATGTGCTTTACCCTTTTTTTGTAAATAATTTTTTATTCACGCATGTTTGTGATACAGAATAGTGGAATTCCTTTTGGAAAATTGGTGTCTGCATGTAACATATATTGGTCATTTTCAATCCCTTTATTGCTCTCTCCCTTTCTTTTCCCCTCCTTCCTTCCATCCTGTCTTCCATCTCCAGGAGTCTGCCTTCTAGCTTTCTATTGTCTATCTTTTGTTCTGTTCATTCATTCATTCATTCATTCATTCATTCATTCATTCATTCACTCATTTGTATTTTAGGTTTCTCATGTAAGACAAAACATACAATATTTAACTTCTTGAGTCTGGCTGTTAAATTAGCACTATGGCCTTGTGTTCCACCTATTTTCAGGCATGACATGATTTCATTCTTCTATATATCACATTCTCTTTATCCGTTCTTCTGGTGATTGTGCAGAGTGTAGACTGCACTGTGTAGACACATGGTGTTTGAAATCAGAAAGACCTAGGCTTGGGTCCTGCTCTACCACTTCAATAGCTGTGCCATGTAACTTTGCTGAACTTCAGTTTCCTCCTCTACAAAATACTGATAATTATGTCACTGCCTTCATAAGTTTATGGAAAAGCTAAAGTCAAATAATTCATGTAAGGCATTTGGCATTTTTTTTGGCCTGTATTAATAACCATTTTTATTAAGTTCTTATAACTATTACAGATTTATCATGGTACCTCATAATATCTGGTGCTAAAAAAGTGTTTATATCAAATGAATTTACTATGAATAAGTGTTACTTGCTAAGCAGATATTGGGAAAGCATCCCTACGAGATCTTTAATAAGGGAAAAGAGAGATCCATGTGACCAGACCTGGGATAGTGTCAGCCAGCCCCACTGCGTGCTCCCCACACATTCTCCTGAGGGGCCACAGTTCTCCTGGGAGGACCCAGCTGTGATCCCTCGCTCCCTTTGATGTCAGTGCATTAATCCCAGTCCCATTTTTGCACTGATTACAATTATAGATTCCCCCATGCAGGGTGGAATGAAAATGGAATGGCAGAGAGACCCATCTCATGCACATTGCCATTTCCCAGAGGACTTTTGAAGCTCAAAATAGTTTTAAGATTAAAAGGCACAGGTGGCTGGTCTTACCAAGAATGGGCACAAGAATGCACAGCACAAAGGGTCGTAATTAGCTCCTTGAGAAAGAGTTAAGTGGTAAAATCCATATTCCACAAATGGGTTGAATTGCATCAAAGCATGGAGCAGTCCTTTAATACTATGATAACTGTGCCTTTTGTTCATACTTATGTGAAGGCTTAGTCACTTCCATGGAAAAGGAATACATGAAACAGTGTGTGGGGAGAGGACACTTGCTGGCGCATGTGCTTCTGACACTGTGGTCTTTCTGTAGGCCCAGCTCCAAGGCCTGTAGGGATGCACTATTCCTAACTTTTGAGATTTGTTCACTGTGAACATCTCCACAGCCCCCTGCACCCTGCCTTTCAGTCTCTCCAGCTGGTGCTGGCGATTTCCTGTCTTGGAAGCAGCTGCATGGGCAGAGAGAGATTCGGTGTGCATTTGTAGCTGTTCCTTTCCAAGCCTGCAGCTCTTGTGATTCTATCATTTAGACCCACGGTGGGGTGAGTGACCTACATTAGAGCATAAAGCTGAGAGGGTGTCAGCTTCGCACTGAGATGTCAACAAGCATTTTTTTCTGCCACCCTGCTCGTGCCTGTTGTTTGATTTCCTTGTCTTAGCACAACCCTCACGTACAGCATGCTCATATGGATGTGACAGCTGACTTCACATCTTGATTTTACTAAACAGCTTTCACTATACTGTCCCGTCCTGTGGTCCCATAAGTGCAACTGTTGGTTGGCTATAAGGCCCTACTTGATTTGGAAATTCACGTTCTTTTACATACAGGCTATTGAAAAAGTGTATGTGTGTGCACCAGTATATATCATGGTCTCCATTTACTCACTTGCATTTTTAAACCTGAGATACTGAGCATCTTCATGGGCTCTGAAGTTACAGAGAGAAATGCATCAGAGACCCTTCCTTCAAAGAAGTTCACTTTGTGGAGCTTGGAGAAGACAGAAGAGTACATAGGTTCCGGACAGCACTGAATGTTAAAATAGAGAGCACCCAGGACTCTATGATAGCACAAGGAGGAAGGTGACTCTCCCTGAGGCATGAGAAGCTTTGGAGCAACCTGCTGCAGGCCTGAGTAGGGCAGAATGAGTAATAGGAAGAAATGCACAGTGTCAAATGCAGTAGAGGGTTAATGAAAACAGAAAGGGAAGGCTGCCTTGCTAGGTTAGTGACCAGGAAGTACTGGAAATGGCAACACTGCGTGCATGGCAAACGTAGCTTCAACAAAGCAATCTGTATAAGTGCAGCTGTAACAGGTTGAGAAACTAACGGGTTAGGAATTGGTGCTATAATAATACAGGTTACCCTGTCTCTGTCTCTGTCTCTGTCTCTGTCTCTGTCTCTGTCTCTGTCTCTCTGTCTCTGTCTCTCTCTCTGTCTCTGTCTCTCTGTCTCTGTCTGTCTGTCTGTCTGTCTGTCTGTCTGTCTGTCTGTCTGTCTCTGTCTCTCTCTGTCTCTCTCTGGTGATCTTGGGAATGTGTGCAGGTAAGAAAGACAGACAGATGATTACCTCTTGTATGTGTTGTGTTGGGGAGTAACTTATCAATGATATCTCTATAGATTCACTTTATGGTTTATTTCTAGAAGAAATTGCTCAGAAGCCATCCTGTGGAAAGCAGCCTCAGAAGGGTGCCCCCTGAACAGCAGGAAAGGAGCTCCAGCCTTCCCTGGTCCCCAGGAAGCTGTGTCCAGGCAGAAGCTGCCCCTGCTGGCCTCTGCGGAGAACAGAAGGTAGATGACTGCGCAGAGCTGCACGAGTACTTTAATGTCCTGAGTTACAGAAGCCTGGGGAGCTTCAGCATCCTTGGGGAGACCGGTTAGCAATCAGAAGCATCTTCTGGAGACACACAGCTGTCTTTGTGCTTAGATGAAAGTAAGCATTTGTCTTCTCCCTCCATGCTGTGTGAGAAGTGAATGAATGGCAACTTTTTTTGTTCCCTCTCCCCTTGCTTTCCATTCCCTCATGGCAGACTTGTGGTGAATGGCTTGAGTCTTGAGCAGGAGCGCAAACTCAAAACAAAAACAAAAACAAAAACAAGCTTGACCTGACTTTTTAAATCTGGCAGCTTAAGCAGATACTCTAACTCCAAGAAATGCATTTCCCCCAACAGCAGTGGTTTTGCAGTGGATGAGAAGGTTAGAATAACTACAGCCACGGTCCACTCATCTTACCTTCATGGTCAGCAACACTCACTCAGGCAGGGAATTTCATGGATGAGGGGGCAGAACCCTCCTCTGTGAAGCATACAGTGAGAAATGTACAGTATGGATGGAGAGCCAGGTGTGCCTGGGCTGGCAGAAGTCTTTGCAGGAAACTTGTAAGAGCTTGTAAGGGAGCAATATCTTTTCCTACAACTGGCTTACAGCCCATCTCTGATGGCTGGATACAGGGCCTTCCAGGCTCTTGCAGGCAGGCATGGGATGCCCCCAGGAAATTCAGGGCCATCGAGGGTGCCCAGTCCTATCCCCTGAGCCAATGTCTATCTTTCAGCCAATAGTTGAAAATAGAATCTGTTTCCTACCAAAAGGAAAACCTGGATTTTTAAAAACAGGGATCCTTCCTAAAGGGGAAACAAAAAATGTGTGTGTGTGTGTGTGTGTGTGTGTGTGTGTGTGTGTGTGTGTGAGAGAGAGAGAGAGAGAGAGAGAGAGAGAGAGAGAGAGAGAGAAGCAAAACTCTCACTAGCTTCTTTGAGCCCTTTTATTTTCTCCCTGAGCTCTTTGCGCTGGGTTTGGTGTCTGAATAGTCCGTTTCTCTTGGAAGTGCATTCAGGCTGAATCTAAAGATTTTATCCTTCCATAACTTCTTAGAGGAATAAGCAGGGAGGCTGCAGTTACAGTGATTGATTTTCTTTTTGGGCAAAGACACTGGGAGACAATGTGAAGCAAGGCTGGCTCTTGTGAATGGCTAAAACAAAGCACTGCTCTGCCGCTTAAGAACCAGGCCAAGGTTAAGCAGGAAGACAGGGCAATTCCTACTCCTCTCTGGATTTCTTCCACTTTTCTACCTAATAGGTATGTAGTTAGGCATAGTGGACTGAAATCTGTCCTGAGCTCCAGCCCCTTAGAAGAAAGATAGACACATGTAACATGCTTTTGTTTGCTGTAGCACTTCAGAGTATTTTCCTTGCAAGACTAGTGCAAATATGTAGGGAGTAGAACATAATTCATGAATTGGAAATGAGCTAAAATGTAATGACAAGAAGGGAGTGGTGTTTTGATTTGGAGAAGATGTATATTGGGCTGAGGTTGGACTGAGTGTTGGGTGTTACTTAACACAATTATGGTAATTGGGAAACATTTGCAAATACCATTGGGATGTGATGAAATACAAAAGAGCCTATAGATGTTGGAAATGGGTCAGGTTACTAAAATGAGATTCAACTTGACAGAAAATAAATTTCAAAGTAGAATTCGCTGAACTAGATTCTCCTGAGAACCAGTGAAGATATCTATTACAAGCCAGATTCCTAAAGACATGTGATGTCCAGGACAGTGGGCACTTTCCACTCAAGGCTGTCCAAACACTTGAGATTGGGCTAATCTGCACTGGGCTATGCTGCACTGTGGGCATAAAATACACATCAGATTTTGAGGACAATATGAATGAATCATGAAATGTAACTATCTCATTAGTAATTTAAAGATATTGATTGTATGTCCAGATGGTAACTTTTAGATATATTGGATTAAATAAAATGTTATTAAAATTAATGTCACTTGTTGCATTTTGATTTTTAAATATGGCTCTTGGAAAATGTGCAGTTGACTATGGATTTCATTACCTTTCTGTTGGGCTATGCAGCTGTAGATTATAAACCCAACCCATCCTGCTCCTTAGGGATAGTACCTATGTTTGTCTGCTGGTCTTTGATATTGAGGGTAGTGACTGAGGAAGTTTTTACTTCTTATTATGTCTGTTGAGAAACTCACAGGGGAGACTGAGGTTGGGGACCCTGGAGTGCTGACAGAAAGTTCTCAACTTCCTCTGTATTCCCTCTTGAATTCACTGACAAAAGGAGAGAATAAATGGATCAGTGAATGCCAGCACAGACAAAAATACATTTATGGATTCTCTGCCCACAACCTGAGCCTGGACTTATAGAGTCTCATCTGAAATCCAGAGAATTACTACTGAACACAGGTGGGAAAGTTTAAGGCATGGAGCTTTGAGCTAGGTGGTCTTCATACCTGGACAGTACTTTACTATGATGTTTTTCTTCAGAACTTGTCTGTTCTCATTCTGTGTTTCAGAAGTGAAGTCATATAGTCATGTTCATATAGAGTCACCTGTGCTTAGCTGGATAGGACAGAGGCTGTGTGTATTGTCTACAAATAGAATATGGTTGACTGTCTTGTGAGATGTAGAATGTTATTATTACTGCATAATATCTCATGAGAACATGTCCATAATGGACCTACCAAACCCCATAGAAAGGAGCAAATAGGAAGCTTATTGCTGCCAGCTATGGGTATGAATTTTGTTGTCTTTTGCTTCTTTTCAGTCCTACTTCATGACTATAATTCCTACTGTCCCACACTCACTCCAGAGCACAACTGTCAAGAGGCCTAAGGGAGCCTCGTGTGTTACAAGAGCCTGAGGTTTACAGCACTCAGAAATACATGATATTTGGAAAAATTCAATTGCATAAGGTACTATGCTGGACATTGCTGTCCAGTAGAACTTCTGTGATAATGAAAATATTCTATTCCTGCAATATTTAGTATCATAGTCACTAGTCACACATGTTTTATGGAGTGACAGCAATTTGGCAAATGTGACAAAGGAAATTCAGCTAGTGTAAGGAATAAAACATGACTGGGGACAGTGTGTTGGGCATCACAATTCTAGCAAATGGCTTCATACAGAGAACTGTGTTAACAGACTTACAGGTGATAAACATTTGACATGGCTACCACCAGAGCCATTGAGGAGCTCCTTCTAGTCTTTTAGTGCCCCTCCTCTGAACAAGACAAAGCATGAGGAGAAAAGCAGACTGTGCATTTATTTATTTATAGCTCTTTCCAAAGCAATTTGAGGTAGTTAAATAACCCAGATCACATAAACAGGGTAAGAACTGTCAAGAAATTTGCAAGTCATAGGTGTTGTGCAGGAGTAAACTCTCTTCACAGAATTCATCATGGCTGTATTCATTCTGTTTTGGGTAAGCCATGAAGTCCCTTTCTCTGTGATTAAGCCACTAATGGACTTCATAGCAATTAAAAGGGGATAACTGATGTGAACAGGACAGGAAATTGGGCTCCTTGCTCCAGGTGCTATTCTGTACAGTGAAGTTTCCTGACTTTAGATGCATCACTTCACTTCTCACAGCCTCATTACAAATATTTTCCAGTTTGTAAAATGGTAATAGTAATATGTACTTCATAGCAATATGTACTTTCTAAGACTCCGGTTAACTGCCTTGTGAGATGTACAATATTAATATTCTTACTGTATTATGCCTTGAAAGCACAGGCACCTGACACTGCTCAAGATGGCATAGAGGTTTCTGAGGGGGCAGCAAAACTTGCTGGGCACAACCAGGATATCTGGAATTAATATTCTTAAAATCTGGAAGTTAAGGAAAGCCAAGAGCTGCAGACTTAGCTTTGGGATCCATAAGTTCCATTTAAGTATGTATACATTTAGTGTTTTAAATGAGATGATAATATTTTTAAAAAGTCAAACAGATCTTGGATATTGATGGTCTTCTTACAGCAGGGTGATTTTACTGCTTTTTATCTTTCTGTTTGCATTCATAATTAAATTATTGAGAGAGAAAGAGAGAGTTCATAAATGATTTATTTCCTCCAGGTGGGTGAAACAGTGGAAGGTTTTGCAGCAGTTGCCATACAACGAAGGTGGGTGGGGGCTATCTTCCTTTGCACAAGGTAAAGCAGGGTGCTGAACTCAGGGTATGTGCTCCAGCAGGCTGTCCCTTCACTTTGCTAGCTGTGACACAGACTCAGCAAAGCACCATCTGATACATCAATGTTGTTATTGTAAACTTAGTTTAACTTATGTTTTATTTGTACCTTTGGTTTTATAATTTTTTAGAGTTATAAGCATAACATATATGTTTGAATATAGTTAAGAATGTTTATTAAAAATAATTGTACATTATATTTTTACCATATTACTTAACATAATAGAAATAATACCAGGTTTCTTTTGTTGGGAGGATTTGTGAAAAGTGTTTTTTATTTATATGGAAATACATACTACTTGAGTTTGAGAAATGTCTGTGGGTATAAGTAATCTTTGGATAAAGTTAAAAATAGTTTATTAATTGCTTCATGCTGAAAAAAATGTATTTCTGAATCTGGCTTTATAAATTGATGTAATAACAGTTCTCTCACCATGTAAGTATATCCAAATAAATCCACTGTGAAAATGGATAAAGCTATAAACAAGGAAGTGCCCCAGGAATAGTATATCTGCTATTCACACAGATGATAGCCTGTATATAAACCACACTACTGCATTTTTCAGCAGATACAGAAGAGACTTCTGTAGTGTATAGATGGATCCAAGAGAGATTTAAAATTCCTGGTTGAAGTTAGCCAGCATCATGAAGATGTTGGTAAGGTTTACAGAAACCAGGAGCAAATCATGCACCATGGAAATATTTCTGTCTTCTTCATTTTCCACTTTCTAGAATATCAGCTTAACTTAGTTCAGTCACTGAGCTCCAACAATTCAATACTTAAATGTGTTCAAGTCATTGTAAAACTACCAGGGTTCACTGGTCACCTTTTAGCACAGAGGTCACTCAATGACCTTTGTCATACCCAGCTCATGCCTGTGGATTTTTGTGCTTCTCATACCAGTGGAGTTGGCTGTCCATACTCACCTCTTTCCACTCATAATACTTTTTTTTGGAACTAGGGAATGAACTGAGGCCCTTGTGCTTGTCAGGGAAGTGCTTATTCCACTGAGCCATCTCCCCAGCCCCCTACAATACTGTTGTGAGTCCCCAAAGTGGATTGCTTTTTCCTTGGACCCTTCCTTGACTTACTGTAATCATAGTCATTTTTGTGTCAGTTTATAAATTCCCATGGGCCTGCAATTTTACTATGGTGTAGATTTCCAATAACCCCCAAAGCTTCATGTGTTTGCAAAGTGACTGGGTGATAGTGGCCTCATAGCCGGCTTGCCGTTGGGAGGAAGGGTGTGGCTGGAAGGGACAGGTCATGATGGATGGGGCCTGCAAGGGTAAAGCTCCCTTCCCAGCTCTTCCCTTTGCTCTACTTCCTCAGGGCCATTAGCTGAGCAGCTTTTCCTGCTCTGTGCCCCTCTGCCATGGAGTCAGTTTGAGCCAGCCAATGATGGACTAAACATTTAAATCAAAATCATTACTCTCT